TTAATCAGATTTTAAGAATGCAAAAAAGAGTTCGATCATTCACATTAATTGTTTGATTATAATTTGTGATGAAAATATGAGCATTTGCTGCTACTGTCTGTTGTCATTAATATGTGATAATTTATTCTCACGTACTCTGTATTTAGTTTATGAAATTCTGTGCTTTCAATAAAACTCATATACCTAGAATTATTAATTTCTCATTTTATCCGGCCCGTTGAAATTGCCGAATTGCCTAATGTGGCCCGCGTTTCGAAAAGTTTGGAGACCCCTGGTCTAGATAATGTGGGAGCCTCAACGTCTCACAACCCTATGGGTCTTCACGGGCTGGTGTAGGGATAGCTTTACTTTTACTTACTTACGTATCAATAAACAGACTGCGTAATAACATAGCGTATCATAGAAAAGCTACGAAGTAAATTAAAATAAGAACTTAATATTAGACATTAAGAAAATATCTAAAGAGTGTTTATTGGCTAAACTCAGGCATCAAACGAACTCGATATGTTTCTATAGAAATCGATTTGTGGGTGGAATCGATTTTTCGGAGGTCGGAATAATACCGATTGTATTTATTTCCATCAGTATGATCCAAACCGCGTTGCACAAGGAATAATGCGAGTCCTTTATAACTTCCTTTCCTACGAATATTTCCAATCCCTATAATGTTTAATTTTGAACGAGGAAAAATAACGAACTATTGCAATCTCTTTAAATATAAATGATCGGCAGAACCGAAAAAATAATTAAAAACATATTAACTTCTCCCATTTGCACTCTCTAACCTAAGCAACAGCGACAATATGGCGACGCATGCAACATGGTAGCCTCACTGACAGAATGAAGCGCATTTTAAGGCGATGACTAAATCACCAAGAACACAATACGTGTGTGTGTCTGTGTCTGTGGATGGGTAAATTAATTTATCTTAATTCGATTAGAGGGGGGTGGAGTCCAGTAGGGTCCACTCGGCACGTCGGCACTGATTGGCCTATTGTACCAGCCCCGTGTGATTATGATGATGGAGAATTTGGTGGAATGAAGATTGGCAAGGGAAACCGAAGTACTCGGAGAAAACCTGCCCCAGCGCCACTTTGTTCACCACAAATCCCACTTCGTGAGGACTGTGTGAGTGCGTGTGTGTGAGAGAAGGGGGAAGGGGAAAGAGAGAGAGAGAGCTCACTATTTATTACTGGGTAACAAGATTCAAATTATTGTGTCCTGTTGGAAAAGGGGCGAAAGAAAATTTTGGGATAATTCTTTCGATATAAAATAGAACACGCAGTGAGTGTACCCGAAATATAACATGATGAATATATCGTAAAAATTGCTTCTCTTTGGAATACATCAGAACTGTTGCGAGATTTTGGATGTAAATGTTATGTATGTACAGTAAGTTATAAAGGCTTCACAAGAGTAAACCACATTGTCCTCGGATTGCTTAATGCCACTTATGGAGTTTCAGAATCAGTCAATCTGTTAACGCGTCATTACAACAGAAGCACTTATCCAGAAAAAATTAGTACGTACTATCTCCAGAGATGGGTAAGAAACCGGGTCAACTTCATGAACTCGTGGCATAACAAATTATCGCTTTCGTTAATAAAACATATTTTTAGAGATCCAAGCTAAAAGTTTTCAGTAAAAGTCATCCGGCTCCTGAGTCCACTTCACTCACGCCAACACAGAAGGAACCGAAAGACGGAAAGAAAGTTCGTGCCTCATTATTATTGCATGCAAGCAGCCCTGTTCACGTGCTGACCCACTTACCTTAGGCAGGTCTGCTGAAGTAAACCTTGCGCACTTCAGTTGAACCGTGTAGTCCCTGAGTGGCAGACATCCTCGTGTGCATTGTCGCTTAGATTAACGTGTTCGTGTTACATTTATCTGCTTCGATATCCGTAAGTGTTTGTGCCTGTAAGAGAGGAATTTCATATTAAACACTAAAGAACCGGAGGTGTGTGATGTGATGGAGTATCGCTTTCGTGTCATTTTAAAGTTTCTGAGAATGGCAGGCGTCCAATCAACATGGACAGTGCGTCCGCACCTTATTCCATTTACAGCGCCTTGACGGCAATAAATGCTTACGCGCTGTCTCGCATTTTATATGGATATCATCACACACGACGACGACGACTTGAAGAATATTACAAAGAATTTCCAAGCACTGAATTCAACTTCGGTTCTAATTGGTTGCATCTCAATTCAAGGTAGGTCAAATGTTGAAGTGCTCTTTTGCTCCTATACTTTACTTATCTCCAGGTATATCAGCACGCGGTTAAGTGACTACAAGAAAACACTGTAAACAAAGCGATCCCAATATGAAATTGTAGATGTGAATAGTTTTTTGTCAATCAATATACATCTAATACGATACTTTGGTACAGCACCGAAATAGGCCCATTCTAACACTTCCACTGACACCGTTTCGAGAATGATAAACTAAACTCACCTTAATTTAAAGGATAATAATTTCACTATACAATCAAGGAGGATAAAAGTATTTTAGCTCCGGTGTGATTACGAGCAACAGTGTCTTATGTGATGTGAGAACATTCAGTGAGTTAGACGTTTCCTATATTCCAGAGAATTCTGAAAGAGGTAGTCCTTTTCTTTCGAAATGTCGGTGACCTAACAGACTACATGAGGTCACTGAAAAGGCAGTGCTGTTCAACATTTTTATTTTCGGCGTGTGTTCCGGCTTGCGTTTACGTGACTCTGAAAGTCCACTTCGTCTCACGGAATCATTCGAATGGGAAGACCAGCCGACCAGAGATCCTAGCACCGAACACCGTACATTAGCGGGGTGGATACCTCAACTTCAGAAGGTTATGACATATGTCTACGCATTCACAGGATTCTTCCATCTAGTACACGCATTTGTACGGGTGTATACAATGCATGAATTGATATACAGCACGTGGTACACCTTTCAGACTGTCAGCAGTCCGGGATACGAATTCGTAATCATCATGCGGGTAATTCCGTGCTTTTACTGCGTGTACTTTTATTCAAATCAGCCTTCACAGAAGGCACGGAATTGATGACTGACAAAAGTTAGTTTCCTTAAGAATCATTTGTCACTGTTCACAAGATAGTCACTTTCAATATTATATTTAAGCATCCTGTTACACTCACACAATATATATGAGACAAACTCCGTCTTAAGTGCAACTATTTAATTGTAGTTCTTTCTTCTTCCCTTCCTCCACACTACATGTTTCGGCCCTAAATGGCCATCATCAGG